AAAGAACTTGGATTATGTCACATCCGTGCCTGCAAACACAGCTTAAAAAAATTCACCTTAATTAGATGGATGAAAACCGTACTGGTTTGGCCTTAGAGCAGGATAATGTCGAAATAAAAAGTGTTGCAATTTCCATTTATTAATGTCAAAAAGAGGAAATGTGATGATTTGGAACTAAAATGCAGATTTAGCAGAAGACAGAAATGACATGATTCAGCTGCTGGTAGCAATATTTTAAATTGTGGCTGTTGTAAATCAACCTGTAACATAAAACATGTGGCAAACAGGATTATACGGAGAACACTAAACACTAAGTCCTTTTAAATTCATCAGTGGTTCCAATGATTTCAGATGATCAACTCTGTGATTAAACTGTCTGACACTGTGTGTGTGTGTGTGTGTACCAGTTTAGACATCTTTATGGGGACCAAAGAATTGGAGTGTTACTATACTTGTGGGGACCAACAGTCACTTGTGGGGACAAAAGTGCCTGTCCTCATGAGTGTGAAGGCGTTTTTGAGACTTCAAATGTGGTTTTAGTGTCAGGGTTACAATTAGGTAATGGTTACGTTTAGGCTAAGGGCTAGGGTTAGGCATTCAGTTTTGATGGTTAGGGTAAGCTTCAAGGAATTATGTCATTATGTCAATTAGACAATATGAGATATCAATACGAGAATGTGTGTGTGAGTGTGTGTGTGTGTGAGTGTGTTTGCAGATGAGAGAAGGAGACCGATCTGGGGTACCTAGAGAACACACAGTTCAATATATTTATTTATAAATTTGATATCTATTAGTTAAAGTGTTTAAATAATTTAATTGGTGTGAAAATCCAAACTATTATTTATAATAGGAGATCAAATGTCATGGGTCAAACTGATCTAACAGTTATACAAATCCTACCTATGAGGACAGGTGTGTAGTGAGCTTCTATTTTCACAGTATTGTTATCGTCAAAACTGGCAGGTGTATTTTTTCTTGTTGCCACTCTGAAGCTTCACAGTCAGAAGAGAAACACACGTGCGTCCAGTGTTCTTGACACGTCTGTCCCACAAAACACACTTCCTGTCTCATCCACCCAACGCATACTGTTTCATTAACCAGCTCTGTTCTCTCTGATTGGACAAACCCAGAGTGCCGATTGGTCGCAGAAAACTCGTCCACGTATATAAAGCCAGAGAAGTCAGAGCGTGGAAGTTTGCAGTTGACATCTTGTTCCCTTTCTCTTCCTCCCTCACCACGGGTATTACCTTTTTGTTTTATTTATGTATTTTAATTACAAGTAGAACTGGGAGTTAATCACAATCTAGTTTTGTTTTTTTTTCCATTAGTTTAGCTAGAAACCTGATTTTGTTGACTGTCTCTCTCACGTCTCTTTTGGCCCTTTGGGCCATGAATTTAGCAGCTATAACAGTTGTTTAATAGACTCTTTTTTTAGAAGAAAAAAAAACAAGCGTGTGAATGGTTGTCTGTCTCTCTGTGTTAGCCCTGTGACAGACCGGTGACCTCTCTAGAGTATACCTGGCCTCTCTCCCTATTGCAGCTGGCACAGGCTCTGGTGCCCCTGTGACCCTGAATTGGATGAGCAGAAGAGAATAGATGGAATTATGAATGTTTAAATCTGATTTATTTAAAAAGTCAAAGGTTATTCTTAGTAACAAATGGCCCTTCAAATAGACTGTTTAGTTCAGCAGTGTAATTTGCAGCAAATTAAGTCCAAGGAAAAAACTGCAGGTTCTTCCTTATGTCATTTAAGCTTGTTGGAGTGAAAATGATGTGTTTACATTTTTAAAAGTTATTTAAAATTTGACTTGCACCTAGTTTTACTCAAATTAGAGACACATGGTTTTTCAGTGACCATGTGTGCATATGTGTTGATCACTTGTCAACACATATGCACAAGCAGGATCCTGAGGTCTTAACTCTGAGATGGAAATTAATTAATTAATTTTCATAATTAATGAAAAAAGACTTCCAATATCACTGTTCACCATGAAAAAGGAGCATAAAAAGCACCAAGCCCCCATTTTTTTATCCAGTTGACTGTAGAATACAAATATACATCTCACTGTGAGCAACAAAAATTACCTAAAGAAAAGCAGAGGGAGAAAATTATCCACTTCATTTACCGACCTCATTTTAACATTGGCTACGGGTAAACTCTTCCACATTGTAAACATTTAAAATTTTACTGTCAAGCACAGTAGAAGATGAAGCATTTGCCATTAGATTATTTAACTTTTCTAGAAGTTACACATTGTACAGTGTGTTTCAGTCTTGTTCAGTATCCAAAGGTTTTATGATGTATTTGTGCAGGAACTGAGAAGCCACAAAGCACAAGAAAGAGAAAGTAAACATGATCTTTCTGAAGAATACAAATTATTTATAAAATGATAACGAACTAAAAAGAATTATGATGACTCTTTGTTCCTGGTGAGATAAAGTTGGTGCTCTGAGCTCAGCGCTGCCTTTCAGGGTCACCGAAATCAGCACGTTCACCATCAACCTGTTTAGTACAACACCAGTAAATCTTCAAAAACACTTTAAGGTTGAAGCAAAAATATGTTAATGAAATAGTTTGTATATAATGGTGTATTAGATATTACAGACACATAAAAAATAATGCCTGTGTTGTTAATTTAGACGGTTGCTATGTTTGAACTGAACTGATATGCTTTGCTTGTTTTCTGCAAACATGATGCACAGATATTCTTTGGTTTGTTCAGGTGCCACTTTATAAACCTAAACTGTGCTGCCATATTCCTTTAAGAGACAAGAGGCTTTCTCTCCTGGCAGAACCTCCAGTGAAAGCTGTGCTTTTTCATGTTTGCTTATGCAGTTTTTTTTCATTTTGGTTAAATAAAAATGACACAGTATCAATTGCATATGTTGCTGTTCATCTGAGGTTGCACTTATCTAACTTGAAGGCCTACTAAAGACCAGATTAGTATGCTGCAACAGTCAGTCATGTAAATATGCTGCAGTACTGAATGATGCCACAAGGTGGTGTCTCCTCCTTATAGCAAATCCGGCAATAAGACAGGTTTGCATGTCTTTCCTGTACTAACTCATGAGAGTGTTCCTGTAACAGCAAAACTGTGAAATAAAGTCCTAGTTTCATCCAGTATTATGTTTATAGGTTTTCAAAAACTACCAAATCCTTCAAGAGGCACTTTGGATGACTCATACTGCTAACTGCTAACTTAAACTGTAAGCGTTAGCTGCTTTTTTAAATCGAAAAGCCTACATATTTCAAGCTTCAACTGACTTTGGTGTTTTCAAGCTTTTAAAGTAGCTGGAAAAAGTAACAGAACAGCAATTAAACTGAAATGTCTGATTATTTTTGATCAGTGAACTTTATAGTGAAATAAATACTTGATATAGGTCAAAAACATCCAAATCAAAAGGAAAGCCTTCCAAATTTAATCCTGTGCTTGAAATTCTGCAGTAAAACCTATATCCTGCAGCTCTGTTATCATTTGAATTGTCTAACCTCTGTTTCTCATAAGAGCAATGCAAGAGCAATTATTAGGATCAGTCCTGCAATACAAAGGGCCAACATGATGGAGCTCAGAGGACACGGATCTGTGGAATCTGTGAAAAACACACGAAGGAAAATATTCATTCCTAAATTTCTTAAATTTCCTTCTTGTAACCTTATAGTCAATGTCCAGCAACATCAATGTTTTGAACATTTAGAAGCTACAGTAACAAACTAAAGTTTTATATGTCAAAATCAAACTGTTCTTTATCCTACCTGTGAAGACAGGTGTGTACTGAGCTTCTATCTTCACGCTGTTTTCCTTAAAAAAAACTGGCAGGTGTATGTTTTTCTGTGGCCTCCCTGATGTTTCACGGTCAGAAGTGAAACACACGTCCGTCCAGTGTTCGTGACACCTCTGTCAAGCAGCACCTTTCCCGTCTCGTCCAGCCAGCGGATGCTGTTCTCTTCACAAGGATGGAGGTCAGAGTATCTGAACAGAGAGCACTTTAATGTGAAGTCTCCATCCCCATTTAGTTTCTGAGATGCTGAAACTGAGAGAAATAGGTGATAAACAAAGTAAATGTAATTAGGTCATCACAGCTGCTCCCACATCTCAAACTAATTCTAATGTTTAACTGCTTTATGCACATTTCATTGGATTCATCAGTGGGATAGCTTCTAACTCTAAATGTTAAACGCTCCACGGCCCATCCCGAGGAAATATTGGACAAATATTGGACAAAGGCTGTTGATTATGGAGCGGCCAGGCTGGAGAAAAAGAGGAAGACCACAGAGAAGATTCATGGATATAGTGAAGGTGGACATGCAGATTGCTGATATGACAGAGGAGGGTGGTAGGGAAAGGGTGAGGCAGATGATTCACTTAGGCAATCCAATTAAGGAATTAAAAGAAAGAAGAAGACACAAATACGTGTAGTGTGTTTTACAGGAGAGTGTAAGTACCCACTATTCAAAATATGTAGATACACAACTGTGTCCTGGTCAGTGTTCTTGCCAGGCCGACAGCAGTAACCACCAGCGTCCTCAGCAGTGATGTTCTGGATGCCCAGGTGGCATTTACTGTGCAGACTGAGCCGGGCAGCTCGGGATGAGTTCTTCTCGATGGCCCCATTGTAAACTATGGCAGCAGTCCCAGATCGATCTCTGCTGTAAAGCCAGTGAGCAGCTTGAGTCAAGCGGGGGTGCGTTGTCACAGGGGAGAATGGCATCATGTCCCGATTTGTAATAAAGGTAGAAGTATCTTACACCAATGCCCGCTGTGAAGAAATAAACATGTTTACCTTTCTACTCATTTCTTTTATACTTTAATTCTAATGGAATAATCCATGTAACCTATTCAACCTAATGCTTTGAAACATGTATAATAATCATAAATCAAATTATATTGTGTTCTGTATTTTGGCTATATTTTTATTATTTGGGTTCTTTTTTCCTTTTAATTTTAAATGAACAGCCAAATGCCTCAAACTGAATTCTCTACACCAATAAATCATGTTCATATCCTTCTAATGATCTGTCATAATGAAAGTGTTTTAAATAAAAACAATAATAATCTTCATATTTTGGCCTAGAAAATTGTTAGAGAATCACACAGACATAAATATGGAGTGTGTTTCATAGGATCAGTGTGGGAAAGAATCAGTCAGTAGGAGGTTCTAAATATTACTAGCAAATCAAGTTCGCTCAGGTCAGTGTACTCACTTGTCAGAATATTTAGATACACAGTTGTAAGCAGTGTATTGTTGTCCCCAGGCCGACAGTAGTAAACACCAGAGTCCTTCAAAGTGATGCTTTTGATGCCCAGGAAGCAGTTACTGTACAGACTCAGCCTGGCGGCTTGGGCTGCTTTCTCAATGATGTTTCCATTGTGAACCACCTCTGTAGTCCAAGGTAGGTCTCGGCTGTGAAACCAGCTAATGATGGAGCATGTTGAGTCCAAAGGGGGTGTGTTGTCACAGGGGAGAATGGCATCATCTCCAAGTCTGTAATTAAGAGTGATGTATCTTCTACTGATGCATACTGCAAAGAAAAAAGATGTGTTTATTCTAGTCTACCCAATTATCAAGATGAGGAAGGCACCGTGGCTCAATAGTAAAGGGACAAAGGAACATAATTTAAAATATATTTTTAACAGTTTCATGAAAGAATTTTGCAGACAGTGACTGCCTGTCAGGAAAACATGGACATCAGCAAATGTTGTGATTCCCCCCTTGAAGTGTTCTGCTACATCTTTAATGCAGCTACCTTCAGTTGTGGGTCTCCGCATTCACTTTTGAATTTAATAACTTGAAAATATGCTCTTTTGTGGCTCTTGGCTTTTGAAGAATACTACATTTCTTTGATTTGAGTCTGTGGTTTCCTTAACTTGCACTGAGCCTTATATTTAAGAAAATCCGAAAATAAAATACAAATGAATTCATTGGTGTTGGAGTACAGAGCCACAACTACTAACTTTTTTGTTTTTCGAACAAATTGTGAACGAACTGTATTTCTCTCTTAACCTCCTAGAACCTGGTGTCCACATATGTGGACATCACTATTTGGGTTATTTAGACCAAAATACTCAATTTTGCTCTACAGGGGCCTGATATCCACTTACAAGGACATTATACTGCTACTGTTCTATTGAAATTTTAAACGAATATCCTCATATGCGCTCTCATTTTTCTTAGAAACAAAAATTAGGTAAAAAAAAAAAAAAAATCTGGTAATTCTTGTTTTTACATTCATCGGGTCCCAATCAGCCCAAATACCAAAGAGAAATTAAAAAGCATGCCGTGGAAGAGTTCAGGTCTTAGGAAGTTAAAACAACGTTTAAAAGATCAAAGCTTTGAGTTTTTCTAATAGTTTTTCTTCCTTCAGCTGCTTTATATTCAACTGGAATGAACAGTCAGTGAAAGAATATGCACTGTAAGATCCAGGGTAAGATCCCTAGTGCACTTTATGCTTTGGGTCAAGTGATCTATGATGGTTTATATGATATCTAAAAACCCTTTACATTCTATTGTCAACCGAATTCAATGGAATTTTTCTAATTATGATCTAAAACCTAAAAATATACTTTACATGTTGGTATTTCTTTTTTTCCACATGAAAACAACAATCAATTAAAATGTATATATTTCATCGCAACATTGATAACAGAACCAAGAAAAGAAAATCTGAATAATTACCTTCAAACTGAAGCATAAAAATCAGGATTATTACAGGTTGTTGCATCTCGCAGGCTCAAAATGGGCTTCCTTGTACACAAGTGATTGTGTTTCCTGTTGATGTTCCAACTCATCAGCCAAAAAAAGGTTGAAAGGGCATGTTATAAGACCACTGACATTGGTCACTTAGAAGTTTTTGGATGTGTTTCCTGTCTGGGTTTGACTTTTATACCTTTCTTGGTAAATACTGATACTGCAAGCCACATTCACCAATACATAAACCAGCACCCTCTTTGGAAAATGCACACACATACACAAGGATAGCCTATCCCAGCTATTGTAGGATGGGGGCCGGGGTATATCCAGGACAGGTCGCCACTCTGATGCAGGGCTATCACAGAGACAGACAACTATTCACCCCTATGGCCTTTTTAAGATCCCCAATTAGCCAAGTACCACACAAACATGGGGAGAACAAGTAAACTCCACACAGAAACCAGTGCTAACCACTGCACCACTGTGCTGTTATATGCACCTAATTCTTATTTATTAAAGTCATTAAAGGCCTACGTACTACAATCATGGCATCCTGGAAAGAGAGCAGTTCAAAGAAATTGTTAAAAGTCCAGAATTATCAGGAAATTCTTGCTCATGATGAGTTTTTATAAACTTGTGACCGCAGCTGTAACCATCTATGGTATAACACAGGTACGAAGTCACCGCCTACTGATCAGTTCTCTGGAAAACAGTGTCACAGTTCCTGGAAGAACCCTCCTACCTCAGTATGCTATTTTTATACAGTGTCTTATAAAGTATTTGTCTTTCTCTGATAATCTGTAATACATTCTTACAACCTCATACTATCAAAGTGCCCACAGCTTCAAACAACAACTTTCCTCTGTCTCTCTCTCGCACGCAACTTTTTTTGTCTGTTACTTTCAGTCTAGCTCACTTTCAGGTAAATGAACTTATAGGTAGATCAGCTTGATTGTTCAGTTCTGAGTTTACTTATTGAGTCGAGAAAAAGTCTGTAAGAACAAATATGTTACAGTAAAATGCTTTTATTGACAGTGAAGAAAAACAAGATATTTTCTTGGTATTTCTTATTTCAAGTTTCACTTGTCCGGATAACAAGTTCTTTGAAAATAAAAGCTACTTTCGGCTACTGTGCTATTTCTTTGAAAATATTCAACAATAATTGGCATTGAGATTTACAATATACATCCTTGTTTCACAGGTAAGTAACATTATTCATATTTTTGGTCTGTTTTCAGTCAAAACAGAATTCTCAAAAAACAAAGACCCAAAACAAGAAAAAATCCAGTTAAAAGTTTTATGTACATCTCTTGTATGCATCCACAGATAAAAAAAATAGTCCTCCACGTTTGCAAATTTTTTTTAATTTTTAATCAGTTTTCTTTATTTTTAACTTTTGGCTGACCATTTGAGAGAATACCAGTGAGCTAGGGGCTCAATGCAGTGCGATGTGCAGCGGCTTGTTTTGGTCTATTTAGCCTTTAAAGATTAAACTTGTGTGGGAGAACAAAAAGTCGCAAACTACCCTCAACTACTTGATTTTTACATGTCAGAAAACAGAAACTGTCAATCATGCAAAAGCATTAAAAACATCTGCTGCATAAAAACTGTTTCTAATGGTGATATAAAATAGCCACTAAATCCAGTGACCCAGTTAATGCAAACAGTATCCCCAAGACAAAGGAAGCATATACTGCTTTACTGATTTCACATAATTTATTTCCATGAAGAAATGTTCAAAACTGGATGTAGACAGTGTAAAATATGGCTGACAAAATATGAAATATTTTTACAGTCTTTTCAGACTACGATGCCATGTTATTCACCACCTCATCATTGTAATTGTTAAGTGCTGTTTTCTGTAACATACTCACAGGAAAATAAATAGACTGGAAATAAATATAATCAAATTATATTCCAGATAAAACCTTTTAGTAGTTTATAAAAATGACAAACATCAGTGAGTCAGAAAAAGTAAAAAAACAAAACAAATCTTGATTAACAAGAAGCCAGAAAACAGGAAATGCATAAAATATTCCTAAATGTTTTACACATAAAGTATTTTAAAGATTCTGAGAAAAAAAGTATAACCAGATCTTTTTTTTCCAACTACAAAAAGGTTTAATGGAGGATTTAACAGTTGTTTGGAGAAACACCCAACCATCTCAAAGGTAAGGGTATAAAAAAGCATAATGTTTGAGGTTGTGGTATCAATATGTATTTGTCAATCAATATTTATTTATTTACAAATTCCAGAAAAACAAAGAGACCCTGTCAACTGACATGAATCCTCTTGGAGTGAAGAGTTGGTGGGATTGCAGCAGAAAGCAGAAAAATAAATGTTTATACCAAAGAAATCTTGCACAGAGGAGGAAAACAAACACTCTCTTTCTACATCTTTTCAGTTCTTAGCTGAATTAAAAGAACAAAAGAATGGACAGTTAAAAGTCTATGATGGTGAGCCCGATTTTTTAAGCCCTCCTACCCATCAAGTATTAGGAGTAGCCATAACAAATTAGCCCTAAGGTTGACAAGTGCGGCACATCTACTGAAGAGGCCAGCTGGTGCGTATGATTTGTTGTGCTTTGTTGCATCCTATTTAGTACATTTGTAATGAGACTTACTCAATAAGTCTGTTATTTATTCTAATTTACAATTTTTAAGTGAAAATAGAATCGAAGTCTGACTTCATGCATTTCACATTATAGACCAGGACTTATGAGGTCAAAATAAGTAAAAACAAATGTGTTTCTTACAAGGTTTACGAGCTTGGACACAGACATGAAACAAGGCTACGTGTCAGCTAAGACCAAAGTATCTGCGTTTACGCAAGACTTTAAAAGGAAAAAGAAAAACTTTTATGGATACAGTAGGAATATTAAACTGAGAATATTCAGATGTCAAACTTTTGTGCTTCTCCTGTCCTCTCTGCTTTCCTCGTCCCACAAACAGCAGCTCGACCAGCCGTGACATGCATAACGGATAGAGTTAAAACTGAAATCATGTATTTCAGAAAAAGGTCTAAAGTTGTGCCTGTGTTAAAAAATTGTGCGCTGAACTCAGAAAATCTTTACATTCTGTTTGGTCCAAATTTGGAAAACACTGCAGCACATTCCACTTGTCACATATTTATGAGTTCCACAATCTGTTTTATTGAGCGATATTACTGCTGAGTTACCATGTCATCAGCTTTCGCCTTCCCTCCAAATGATAACTAAACTATTTGCTCTTTGTGACTGCATGTGTTCACATTAGGATATGACTGTGTGCGTCTCTATAAAAAGAGCTTCTAAGATCAAGTGTTTTGATCCTACACTATCTTTGTGTGTAAACAGAAGAAAGAAGGTACAATGCTCAGGGATTATTCATTTCCTTAACTATTGAACCTGTTTTGGGGAGGGGACGTAGCAACTAGGTGCATTGAGTCACCATGAAATGTCACTGGAGCTTTAAATGTGTCCAGCAAAACAGCACACATCTATACACAATGCTGCGGTAAAAAGAAACTACAGTTAAACGCAATGAGGTCTTCATGGTGATTTTTAGACATCATCTAGCAAAGAAGTGCAATTCCTTGATTGGCCACTTGCCATTGGCTCCAAAAACGAGTCATTTCCCAGAGACGCCCATGTTGAAATGCCTAAATTCAGCAATGACATGAAAATAACATATTTATAAGAAACTGTTGGGCGAAGCTAATTTCTCCCACCATGACAACTAAACTAGAGCTGAGTTTCTTTTTAGCTATAACCCATCCATCTGGATAAAGTTAAAGGCTTAAAGTGAGGGTGTGGTTCCTTTATTTCACAGGTGTGCCACACAGGCCAGTAACTTTCTGCCAGGCCCCTCGACTATGGAACCAGCTCTAGTTTGGATTCGGGAGACAGACACTATCTCTACTTTTAAGATTAGGTTTAAAACTTTCCTTTTTGCTAAAGCATATAGTTAGGACTGGACCAGGTGACCCTGAATCCTTCCTTACTTATGCTAAAATAGGCATAGAGCTACTGGGGGATTCTCATGATGCATTGAGTGAGTGTTTCTTCTTCAGTCACCTTTCTCACTTGCTATGTGTTAATAGACTTCTCTGCATTATACTATTCATCATACTAGTTATTAATCTCTGGCTCGCTTCCACAACATGCTTTTTACCCTGTCTTCCTTCTCTCTCCCCAACCAGCCGCAGCAGATGGCCCCGCCCCTTCTGAGCTTGGTTCTGCTGGAGGTTTCTTCCTGTTAAAAGCAAGTTTTTCCTTCCCACTACCGCCAAAGTGCTTGCTCATAGAGGGTCATATGATTGTTGGGTTTTGCTTTGTATGTATAAATTTAGGGTCTACCTCATAATATAAAGCGCCTTGAGGCGACTGTTGTTGTGATTTAGCGCTGTATAAATAAAATGTCATTGAACTGAATCTTTTAAACCAACTTCCCTAAATTGACGTCTCCATTGTGCCGATGCTTTGTGAAAGACTTTTAATGGCTGTCTGTGTGGAAAAGCCCATCCAAGCTGTCCATGAAGCTTAAATATTCATTATTATTTTCATAATTTGAAGTCTTTTACTTGGAACTATTTAGGATCAGTGTTTGTGGACCTGTGCACTTTATGGATGCAGTTTGCTAACGAAAGTTAGCTGAGCTCTAGCTAGCACCCCACCCTCTCATCTAAATATGGTCACTTCTGACTCCAAAAGAAACATGGTGTGGCAGCTTCCAAATTGCTAATGCTGAGGTTTCAAACTGTGGGTTGGTGATGTCACAGTGCCTACATCCATCCTTTATATACAGTCAATTCATGCTGCTTTTTAGAAAACAGTACACATGTTTTGTATTCTTTGCTGAAGCAGGTTTGAAACAGATTCCAGGAGTTAATCTGAGTCAAAGGACCTTTTGATTACTGCCATGTAAAAAAATGTAATAGATATTTACAGTGAGATTCACATCTAGAGTAGAGCATCAAAGAATAATTCAAGTAAACTCAGGAAATGGTGGCCTGACATCTGTGGCAGTATAAAACTGAACAGGATTGCTCTGTTCACTTTCTCTTGCAGTGTTACAGGAACCAGTGTCACAGTCGTCTGGGACTGGGGGTGGGGGGGGGGGGGGGGGGGAAAGCTGGCACAGGCCATTTTTTACCTACAGCAAAGTAAAGTGCAATGGAGTGTCTTCTGCATGTCAGTGTACAACAATCTTTCCAGGAGCTTTGAAAGGAGTCAGCCAGCTTGGTTACAACATTAACCAATCCCATCCATGAGACACCTGTCCTAAATCACCTGTAGATTGTGGCTGTCTTTAATTAGACCTGGCTCACGCCCGGCGCCTTCAACTTTCCAAGTTTTAAGGAGGAGATTTTTGGCAACAAAAAGCAGGTACTGCTGTAGGTATTTGATGCCAACTTGTTTCCCACGGGAGCAGGGAGATAGTCTCACTTGTTTGTGATTAGGTGACTTGGCAGGTCACAGTGAGGTTTCACGAGAAAAGCTGACTGAGGGCTCCATCTTGGCTCCATTGGATTTCTTTTCTGAAGGGCAGTCTCCAGGACAATCAGTCGTAAGCTGGGACACAAACAAGAAATCAAAATGAACTG